AGTATAAGAAATATATTCCTTGTCAGACGAAAAATGATGCTATCAGAGATGATAAATTATGAATAAATGACGAGAAGTGTGTGTATTCAATCATCACAATAGCATACAGTATAAACTTATTTCAAACGTCTCAATTGTCTTATGACAAAAAAAAAAGAAAAATACTAAAGGTATACAAAGATTTCAGTAATATTTCTTTATAATAAATTCATATTTAGAACTTTCTTGAATTCAAGAAAATCTAAATATTGAATAACTAATATGAGTTTTTTTTTAAACATGATCACTAATCTAGAAGTAATTTGTATTTATATGAAATGTATAGGAATTATAAAGTCAGACTAGAACATATGACTGTTCTTCTTTTTCCTTGTCTAAAACAAAAGTTCTTTTGACAGATTAATATAAAACTTTCGACAGATAAACAATTCAAATTACTCTATATTATAGTAAAAATCGCACTTTAACTCATTAAACTTGCTGCAGAAATTAAAACTTGTAGCATTTGCTTCACGTATTTAGATATATCTGAGTGTAAAAAAACCTTTATGCACAATTAATAGTTTTATTGAATTCTTCAATTAGAAACGAATAAAAAATTTGTATAATGAAATTCGACATTTGTCTAAGGATAACTATAAGGCAAGAAATGATTGTTTTTTGCTTTTGTTATATGCCTTTACATACAAACAATTCATAGTACTTACATAGAAATAGAAAACAATCATCTCATAATGAATTTTATCAGATAATGTCAATCCTAGTTCACTGTTATCTTTCTCTCAATTATACTAATGAGACTTCTATATTCGCTTTTCTCTTAAAACTTATGTAATTTACTTACAAAATTCTATTGTAAGAAGATGCAGACAATAGTTTATTAAGTCTTCCTTCTGAAAAATCGGCTATGGATCATATGCATTTAAGTCTCATGAAATTTTCAGGATATGTTTGGAATGTACTGAAGAGATTCTAGTAAAATAACTCATTTAATTGTCCAAAAGTCTCTGTGATCCTTCATTCTATATACTTAATTGCTTTCTTTTTTGTTTGAAAGAACATGATTGAATGCAAAATATGACAGAGTCCTCTTATTTTTTTAAATGCTGACTATTTAAGTGAAAAAAGGAAATGAGAAGTTCAATGAGCCGAAAAACCTAAAAAACCTAGCGTTTCAATTATAAAACTAATCTTGAATATAATAATAAAAAAGCCTGATTCAAATAAGGACTCCGTCAAGCTCTCCATTTTGACATGCCTCTTTAAACAAAAACTAAATTAAATATATAGAATGAAGGTTGATCAAGAACTTTGGATTACACAACCGGACAAACATAAATAGAGAAAAGCGAAAATGATTTTATATTTTTTCTGAAAAAAAAAAAAAAGATATTTTTTAAAGTAGAAAGTGACGGAAGTCATCAAAAAATTTTTCCTTTATGAAGAATCAAAGCTCGAACTACTATTTCAATTTCGATTTTTTTTGCTAAACATCGACTTTCTTTCAGGATGACTTAACGGCAAACAATCATTTTATCTTTTATTCTCTTTCGGCTCTTTAGCTTTTCTCAGTTATTCCATTGGTATCATTCTTTTCTTTTGTTTTCCAATTCATTTCTCATAATGTTTTATTTTTCTGTAAGAATTCTGATTAGTAAATGTCGAAACCATATTTTTCTTTTCTCATTCTCATCATCTTCTTATAATACGAATATTGAAGTACAAGCCTTCATGAGAATAATCCAAAAAAAAATGTGTTGAATTTAAAAGATATTTGAATACCAATATATTTATCATTATCTATAATAGGCTATCATCAAAACCTTTACATTTATGTTTTGAAACGAACTTTTCCGCTTATATTTAAAGGATTTTAACCAAAAATGCTGCAACAACCGAAAATCCAAATGTTGTCAGGCACAGTTATCTACTCAAATACTTTATTTTAGGCAGATTCTAATCACATGAATAGTGTGAAGAATCTATGTATTTTACTCTTCTATAGTATTAGCATTGATATCGTGAATATCGTTGTTTTTGTCTGTTGATCTGATAAGAAAACAATATTTTTATTTATTAAGTGAAAGACAACGAAAATTTACATGATGAGCTCTAATTTGTTTCCGATTAAGTCTAAAACGTTCTTCAAAAAATGTCCCTTAGAGTAAAGATTCCTGCTAAAAATGTTCTTAAGACATGAAACTTCGTTTAAAAATGTTCCTCTTCCTGTATTGTTGTTTTTTAAATACTTTGCTACTGAAAGATAGACGGGAATTCCAATGACATATATTTTAATTGAAAATTAACTAATGCTTTTCTTTCAAGATTTCGTTTCTTTACATTCACCGCCATCGTAGTCAATGATGACCGAATTTTTCTATTCTTTCTCTGGATTTACTCTCCATTCAATTCCATTTGATGATTTCTCAGTCATGTCCTATTAATATAGAAGAGAATAACTTGTATAATAAATAATAGCACGAAAAATATAAAGATTGTCTACATTACTAACGCAAAGATATCTTTATATATGTAATGAAAAAAAAATTAAGTTGTTTACTGTTACAACTTTACTATACTTGAATTATTGATTATAAATCTTGATAAATAAAAAGTCTAGTTATGAATTACACGTTATTTGTTGTTAGTTTTTCGAATTTAATATGTTTGTTTTAACAATGGTCGTTGACACATCATTTGATTTAAGAGTATTCCTACTCTTTTCGATGTTTCTGAAGAACTATTTATAATTTTCAGAGTAGGTAGATCTTGACGAGTAGAACAAATGTTGTCATAGACTCAAAGATCTTGAATGTCATCTTCTATGAGATATTAGGACCACAATGGCTTCTATGTTCGTCCCCAATTCTTCGAGGTGTTATGTTAGATCGAGCTAAAATTTTTTTTTCAGGCATTGGACAGTGTTTGGAATGAGTATATTGTTATTTTTTGTCCTCCAAATAAAAAATTCAAAATATCAAAGATATTTTTTGCCAAAAAGCAGCAAAAAAATGTTTTTCAAACAAAAAACATATACTTACTTCAAACAGTGCTTAGTTTGTGCGAAAATGTTTCAACTTAATAGGACATGTCTAGGTCAGAGAAATTGGCGTATTTCTGCACTTTTTTTTCATGAAAAACTTCCTATGAGAAAAACGCGAAACAATGTATAGTTTTCGTCTATCTGCTTTCTTCTAGAGGTTTTCATGTTTAAAACAATTTTTAGATCTTAAAATGTACTCAATAGATAGATGCTATTTAAAACTATACAAGGGCCATACAACACCAAAAGTTTTGACTCAGAAAAGAGGGAACAGGTACCTTTAAGTCAGCTTTTTTAATGGATGCTGCTCAACTAATGACCATTCGAGAATGAATTCTGCACATTTTTTTTTTAAATTTTAGACCCAATTTTTACTCTTACTCATTCCTGGATGTGTGTAAATTATACTAATAAGTGTAATGATTGTGTTTAAAGTAAAAAAAAAGTACCCATTATCGATTTGGCAAGTAATTCAAGTGAAAAATTATCGAATGAGATCGAAATAGAAACCACCCTTTCTTCTCACTATAATCGTACAATATATCAATTAGACTTGTTTTTCTTTCTATTGATTAATTGAAAAACCAAGCTATGTTTTTATTTGACTAACATAAAAGACATGCTTATCATTTCTCCTTGAGTCATTGTTAATACAAAATAAATATGTTCGTCCATCTTACTATTAGACATGTATGTTAATCTATCTTGTTTGATCCGAAAAAGGTTAAGCTGTTTCATACGTGACCATTAGTTATTATTGAGCTCTTTTGTTCTAACCATTTCTATATATAAGATGGTACATATTGAATGTTGTCTATAATACATTTGTCAACGTGAACAATCTAACTTGTTCATTTTATTTCTTTATATTGAATCAGTAGAGTAAGTCTTATTAAAATAGAAAACCAAAACATTTATTAATTTTGTTTAAATCAAAAAAAAAAAGAAATTATGAATCAATTTATTAAATTAAATCTTTTTTTTATTATACTTATTATATCTATCTACGGAAAAAATGTGGATAATTTTTATAAGACTTTAAATGATGATCCAAATGATGATCCAATTGATATATCAATTTCAACGACAACAACAACTAAACAAAATAAAATATCATTAGCATCAATGAGTTGTATTGAATCTCGTCGATGTGGTTGTTATAAAGATTATTGTTGGGCATATATAGATGAATATCAAATGCCAACAACTGGTTGGTGGTGTTTTACACAACAAGAAGGTGTACGTGGTAAACAAAAACAATGGGCAAAATGTACCAATAGTAGTCAATGTTCATGGACAATGACTTGTGGTGATTGTTATACTTATGTTGGAAAAAGGACAGGTATCAAAACAAATAAAATTCTTTGTTAAAATTTTTTCGTTTGTAATGTATTATAATAATTAAAATCAATAAAACTTAAAAATTTGTTGCAATTATTATCGATTTCATTATGAATATTTATCTTTTGACAAATGAATTGACATTTCAAAATGAGAATCAATATCACATTTTTGAAATATGACTATTTCCATTTGTTCTATCAAGATTTTTCTAATCATAAACATTTAATCAATACGATAGTCCGATGGATTTTTAAAATGCTAGTTCATTTTTCATTGGCTAAAACATGTGTAAACAGACTCGAAAATACTTGTGTAGAATCTATGTTGAAAACTTGACGTAACTCTTTGTTCAAAAAAGTTCTATCATGTATTATTTTGCAGTAGGAAGCACATATTTAAGCAATACTAAAATGTGGTCGGTAAAAGGAAACAAATACCATAGAAGGTGTTAGTCACTGAATATTTTACGATTTTTTTCTGGCTCATTTTATGAGATAATGTTTATCTTTTCTCTATCAGATTACTATCGCTATTTTCGACAAACCATATCAAGAATACTATGGAATTCTTTGAGATAAAATTGAAAAAAACTCATCGTCGAAACTCTACATATTTTCAGATTGATGTTAGTATTTTTTTTGTTCGTTATCAGATTTTTTTTTCATTTCTAGTCATTGACTTTAACATATTCATAGGGTAAGAATCTTAGGTTATTTGTAGCCATCATGTCAACTGATTTTATTAGAAGTTTCTCCATTTGTAGCTCGAAAATTTTTATCAGTTCATCATCATTTTCACATTCAGTTTTGACATCATTTCTTACATTATTGCTTATCTATTTTTTGATTATATCATCTAAATCGACATTGTATGGCTTTTCTACCAAGTTTGTACAGCATTAGACGGCGCATCTAATTGATGAAAAGCAGTAACATAAAATGAATTGTATTGGACAAAATACGAGAATACTGGAAGATCGAGTTTTTTGGTGCCCATGGCTTTAATCTGTTTCTACATGTATCATTTTAGTGCTATTGAAAGATGTGTTGCCTACTAAAGAACAATACATGATAGAACTGTTTTGAACATATACAGATAGAAAGAAATTTCGACATAGATTCGAAACAAATATCTTCACGTTTGTTCAGATACGTTTAGGTCAACGAAAAACGAACCGACATTTGTGCAGGAAATTTTCCATCATCCGTTTTTTTTTACAATTCAAGTGACTTCTTTTTTTTATAAAGGGCACTCTTAAAAATATTTCGACAGTCCTTAAGACAACTATTTCTAATGTTATTTTCTATAATATTGCCTCTCATGAACAACACACTCAGACATTTAATTAAAGCAAGTCATTGAAGTCGTTCTTGATATCATGTTTTGTGAGATTATTTATGATTTGTTTTAACACAGTGAACATTACATCGGTAATGTTCAATTTCATTCCATGTAGTTGATAATTGAGTTTGAAAGGTAGAAAGAAGTAATATAAGTTCAGATTTAACGCATAC